GGCAAAGACTCCGGGTTTAATCCCCAGCACCAAAGAAAGAAAGAAACAAAAAAGAGGAGGCAAAAGGGAGGTTCGGCAGGGTCCCTGCGAAGCACCAGGAGGACTGTGATGTCCCTGGAGAAGAGACAGCCTCAAGCCAACCGTCTATGACAGGCTTCCTCAAATACCATCCTCGATATGATCACACACACAGCTCGAGTGCCAGTGCCAAACATGTACCCCACGCTTCAAGAACATCACCTTAGGACCCAGTACCGCATGTTTCCAGACACACTGCTCTCTCATTCAGTAACACTTGTTTTGATCAATGTCATCACCAGGCAGCACAGCAAAAAGCTGTCCCAATGCTCCCTGTGGGGTGCTGAGAAAGTCTGGGCGGGAGCTGCCTGCAGCTCACCGCTCACCCAGGGAACGGCGCAATCAGACAGTGCATTTGCCCCGAGAGTGCTGCTTCGCATGCACCGACCACAGAACTCCGCGGCCTGGGCAGGAGCAGAGAAGGGGAGTGTGCAGCTGCAGAACTTGAAGACCCACGAATCCGGGCAGCAAAGAGCCTTTGGGCGAAAGGCCACTGTCCTGCAGGGTGCCTGGATGCCCTGCGAGTCCCTCTGACACCCTCGCCCTCCGCCAGCTTCCCTCTCCTATGGGCTCTGTTCCAAGTCCTCCCTTCCCATCTTGCTCAACTTCCTCTCTGTCCCCTCCAACCGGTTTTACTGTTCTGAGAAATTTATCATCCTAAAATCAGACCTGCCCGGGACACTCCCAACTGTACTTCCTGAGCACTGCGGGAGATGAGCACTGCAACCAAGGTCGGGGAAACAAATCCATGAACCAACACCCCCGCCCCTACCAACCTCCCTGGTTAAAAAAAAAGAAAAAAGTTCTAAATTCTGATTGTGTTCATTTTCCCCTCAGAAAGATGACTATCCATTCAATTTCCAAAGGGTCCTTGATCCAAACAAGAGTTCTGACCCAAATCTGAGTCTGAGCACTTCTTCAGACTCTTTGGAGATGACTCGCAGCCTAATCTCTCCTGGAAGCCCTGGCTCGCAGGCCAGGAGCTGGGCCTGGAACCTGCACTTCCTCCAAGTTCCCCAGGGTTTCTGAGGAGAAGCCAGGTTTGAAAGTCCTTCCATGTGGACCCAAGCACCTCCCACCCAACAAGCCTCAGTACTTGGCCCAAGGCCCAGCCAGCTCCACAGCAGAGCTGCAGGTACACCTGGGCACCAGGACTACTCTCCTCCTCATCCCACCCCACCTCCAACTCTAGAGGTCTGACTTTGCAACAGGTCACTGGGAAAGCTCACACGGGTGCAAGAGACACCAGGGATCTAGTCTAAGTCCTCTCCGCTTCTGGGGTGGCCCACACCCCAGCTCACATCTGCCAACCACTGTGGTCACCAACACTGCTCCTCTTCCCTCTTCAGGGTGTCCTGGCCTAGACACCAGAGCTCACATTCACTTTGGTTTTAAGGCAGCAAGGGACATCACTTCCGGCCAAGCGCAGTGGTACAAGGCATCAGACTGCAGCTGGCCCTTTCCCACAATGGACCAGCATTTCCTTTATTCAGTAAAACACAGCTGCATACCTGGCGTGCTAACACCGCTGCCACCCTCTCCCCAGCCCTGGGTGCTTCCGCCTGTTCTAGAATCCCAACTCAGCACAGCCTCTCTAACAACTCTTGCCCTCCATGCTGTTTCCCCCAGAGCACCCCGCGACAGCCCAGAACACATGCTCTCTGGCCATCTTTCTAGCGCTCCCAGCCCCTGGGAAAAGTCTGTGCTCAGGACCTGGCTGTCCCCGGAGACCAGCCAACAGTCCCCCGATCGATGACATGCAGCAACAGCAAGGACAGAGGCTCCAGGCCCCAGCACCCAGGTCAGAAGACACAGGCCTGACACCCAGACCAGGGTCGGGCACCGTCAGTGCCCAACACTGCGTCCCCTTCCCACCCATCCCAGCATTCCTCAGGCACACACTACACGCCTGGGGGATGTTTCTCCAAACTAACCAAGCAGGTATTCCACTGAGAAAAGGAGAAAGCAAGGAGAGCGAGGCACAAACACCAGGCAACAGTGCCCGCGCGCACACCCCCACATCCAGTTCCTTCTGAAGGCTTCTTCTACCCGGCCCAACTCAGAGACTGCTATCTGTACTACCGGAAGTTCCAGCTGAGACACAAGAGTGCTTTGAAATTCTGCCCAGTGACCCCATGTTACTTCTGGATTTGGAAGGAAAGGGAAGTAGTGTCGTGAAGTTCGTGACAACACTGCAGTGAACAACTCCATCCCATGTTTGTAACAGGAGCTGCCAGTATGGCCCGTGGCAGGCTCACTCCCACATCACCAACTGAGCCCAAACAACGAGGCTGATAGGCTTTGACACTGACAGAAGAAATTTACTACCAAAAGCATTTTGGAAAGGCAGAACTGGCAGCACAGACATTAATTAATTACTGTACATGGAAACGACACTTAAAGTCTCAAACTAGAAGGTGAAACAGTCTTAAGATTTAAGTGTATTTTATGAGTCATGTTCAAATGCTAACTTCCTTCTGGTCTCAAGGGTTTAAATCAACCTCAAAGCGAACCAAGTTTTGGAATTAAGCCTTACATTTGACAATTAGTACTAACGGCTAAGTTAGATGTCCACATCCAAGTGGAAGCGTGGTAATGAGGAAGAGACAGTATCACACACCCAACAGCGCTGTCCACAGGCCCTCAGCAGGTCACAGTGGTCACAGCCTCAAGTGTCCAAGGGTCTCTGCGTAAGACCTTTACCTGATAGTCTTTCACTCCACAGTAACTAATTTCTAACAGAAGACGAACATGCCCATCACAGATTTCCTCAGCTTTCTCTCTGTACTGCGACTGTGTGTGTCTAGTGTCATCCCAGGGTCCCCTTTAGCACTCCTAGATGGGGAACCAAGAATGTCCAGAGAGCCTACAACGTACCAGCCACTTGATGCTGTATTTTAACACATATTTCTCACCATCACACACTTTACAACCAAAGATATGGGAGAACAGTCCCTTTCTTCCTGCCAAACAGCGCCAGTCACAGGACCCAGGGGTCCAGCCTGAGATTCCCCATGACCCCTCACAGCACCCTGCACGGGACACTTAATCTCTCTTTTTTTTTCCTGTGGTGCTGGGGGGGCGGGGGTCAAACCCAGGGCCTTGTGCATGCAAGGCAAGAACTCTACCACTGATCCACGTCCCCAGCCCAAGACACTTAATCTCATGCATGTGATGTCAACCACTCTGAAGCTTCTGCTCAAAAATATCACCCCACCTGCCTCATACTCGCCCCAACAGGATGACACAGGTTCTGAGGCACCAGAAAAGTGATTTCCAAAATGCAGTAAACTGCATTTGCAGACAGCATAGAACATAAAATCGTAAAAAAGGAAACGTCATGTTTTCAATCAGCTGAATATAATAAGACTGTAAAAGTCGAGCAAGTCTTAAGGAATATCCAAGACACTTTGCTAGAGGCACGAAGAAGAGACAGGAGAATGAAAGTCAAGTGGCACTTCTCAAATATTAAAAGAGCACTGCTCAGTAAGCAGAAAACAGCAGAATCTGACCACTCCAGATGCACTTGGAGGAGGGAAGAAAAATGCCCCAAGCATACACTTACGGTCTGACTGCACAGAGCCCTGCAGACTTGAGCTGAAAGGAAAACTTCATCCTTGAAGTTCCATCTACACCAGCGCATTCAAATTCCCCCTTTTCTCTCAGCAAACACCAACAAATTTGCTAGTAACGAAGGCACTGCAGAGCAGGCAGGTAGGATACTTCTACAAAATCCAGAATAGCCAGATGGAGGAAGGATTTCATTTTACAAGAAACAAAATTGTTTTATAAACATTCCAGCTCACGAAAAGTGAGAATCTGTTCCAGGTGCTGCAAGAACCACCATCGTATGCAGCACAATTAGAATGTTCGCAACAAAATTTTGAATGAAAATCTTCGTATCAGCAGGCAGTATATCCCTAGCACCACAAATAAATAAATGGCACGTGAGGCCAGGGGCATTGTTTAATAGTAAAGTGCTTGCCTAGCATGCATGAGGCCACAAAATAAAAGAATAAAAGAATGTGAACTCTAGAGCCACACTGCTCTTGTTCAAATCTCTAAACCATAACTTACTGCTGCGTAACCTGAAGTAAACTACTTAACCTCTCGTTTCCCCATAAACGATCAGAAGATAATGTTAGTGCCTTTAAGGCTCATACGAATAGGGTGACTCTAAAGTTCTCATAACAATCTGGTACCATAATTGTTAAACACTTCATCATCCCCTCAGATAAGTGCCATTACTAACAGAAGGCTAGGTGAGGCAAACACGGAAGGTAAATTCTAGGAGAGGCAGCCGCCCACTTCCTCATCATGTTTTGATGACTGGCAGAGTGCTGCAAAGGAGGAAGCGCCACCCTCAAGGTTCCCACCCGCAACAAGGAAAAAGTGAACTAACGCTTTGGAGCACCTATGTGCCAGAGGCTGGGCCGAGATAGTTCCATTTGCTCCTCTTATCAGCAAAAGCAGATGTCACGCGGCAGACAGGGAATGAGGTGGGAAAGAGGGGAACCGGCTCAGGCAGCAAGGAACAACGAGAACCCTCAGCTCTGGCATCTGGGTACTATGAGTGTCCCAGGGCACCCCTCCTCTCAAGCTGTTCCCTCAAGAGCTCCAGTGAGCTGAACAAACATGCGCGAAGTTTGTGTCCATCGGCGAGTAATGAGACTCCCGCGGAGGTGCCAGGGCGGCCCCGGGAAATGCAGTGACCCAGTCCACGGCTCGTTCTCTGTGTTCAGCACAAAAGCCCTGAGGCCACCGACCGAACACCACCTACCTGCTCACCACACACGAGCCAGAGAGGGCCGATTCTGCGACTCCCTGCCCGTCCTCACCTGGGCTTACAAACTTACGCGGCCTAAGGATGTATTCTCAGCGTCCCAGTGTCACCGTCGAGAACGAAGCCACCTTAGAAATCACACTTCCCAAGACACTCGTTAGGAGTAGGCACAGCTGGCCAGCCTTCGCGAATTAAGGTCAGAAACACGGGAGGCGGGGGCCACAGGGGGTGGCTCCAGGGAGGGCACAGGCACAGGGGCGCCTCCGAGAGGGGAGGGGAGGGCGGGGT